AAAAAAAATAAACATTAGATGGACTTGAAGTCACTGTGCACTTTCTTGGAACTAATTACTCTCCCTTCTCCCTAGCGGTGAGAATAATAAATCACTGATTCACTACAATCCTGAATCAGTGATTTATTATGCTATGATGTTTTTATACCATCACTACATATATATATGTATCCATAAATAATGTATATTATTATTTATTATGGTTCAGAACAAAGTATAAATATGACCATATTATCTATCCCATTAACCTGTTTATTTCTCTCAATATTACATTTTTAAAGAAATATCTATGTTGTCATCTGCAGCTTAAATTTATTCTTTTCATCTGCTGGTAATATTCCATGGTATGACTACTATAACAATTCATGTATACATACCCATGATGAACATTTAACTCGTCTTTAATTTTTCACTATCATAATGTATCATCAAATATTGCTGTAAAAGGTCTCTTTTTACACACTTGGATGTTTTTCTAGGCTATTTAGAATATATAAAAGTAGAACTGCTGGGGGAAATAGTCTAGGTATCTATAGTGACTAGATATTGACAAGTTGTTCCCCACAGTGACTGTTCCAACTGACATTGCCGCCAGCTACATGTTAGACTTCTCCTTGCTCCACAGCCTCACCAACATTTGATATGGTCAGATCTTATTTTCAACAATTTAGTGGGTTTTAGATGGTTTTTCTTGTTTTAATTTCCATTCACCACAGGACTATTGGATATTTGGTATTCCTTACTTTAAAAACTACTTTAAAAAAGTTAAATGTCTCTGCTGTATAGTAAACATTTTTATTGAGATACAATTTACATGTAACATTGTGTAAGTTTAAGGTATATAACATATTGATTTGATCCACTTATATATTACTAGAGACCTGATGCACCCTCTCCAATCAGGGGATGTCCGACTGCCAGTTGTTGGATATCCCTTTCATAATTCGGGACTGCTGGCTCCTAACCACTCACCTGCCTGATGGCCCTTAACCACTCTGCCTGCTTGCCTGATGCCCCTAACTGCCTCTGCTTGCCTGCCTGATCTCCCCTGACTGCCTCTGCCTACTTTCCTGATGCCCCTAACTGCTCTACCCTGCCAGCCTGATTCCCCTAATTGCTCTCCCCTGCTGGCCTGATCTCCCTAACTGCTCTCCTCTGCTGGCCTGATCACCCCTAACTACCTTTGCATTGGCCCCGCCACCATGGCTTTGTCTGGAAGGATGTCCGGAAGACATCTGGTCTAATTAGCATATTACCCTTTTATTAGTATAGATAATATGATTACAATTGTGATTTTAGCCAACACCTCTATCAGGTCACATAATTATCACTTCTTTTTTTGTAATAAGAACAATTAAAATATAGACTTTTAGCAACTTTGATGTGTATAATATAGTGTTGTTGACTATACTCACTATGCTGTGCCTTTGATCTCTGAAACTTACTAGTATTTATCTGCTAGTTGCAAGTTGGTCCACCTAACATCTTACATTTAGACGCTTTTAATTGATGAAAATAATCCATTAACATTTATTGTAATTTTTATATATTTGGATTTATTTCTACACTCTTGTCTGTTTTCCACTTACCATCCTTTTGTTTACTCCCCACCTTTTATTTTTTTTGCTTAGATAATATTTTGATTATCTTTCTCTTTACTTCTATTGATTTAGAAGCTGCAAAATGTATTTCTATTCTTTCAGAAGTCATTGAAATTTTAAAAACCATTCATAACTATTCATCTCCTTACAAAGTCTAAGTGAATTTTATATTTCTCTCCTCCTCCAAATATAATGCATATTGTAGCAAGCTTTAACTGCCTATTGACATCCCCGGTCATATTATTATTCAAAGATTTAGGTTTGCTTCTTTCAGTTAAAAATATATTTCTATTTAAATTGTTTACCAATTTTTAACTTTAAAAAAAAATCTTACCCAAGGATATGTTTTTATTGATTTTGGAGTGAGAGGAAAGGAGGGAGTGAGAAGGGAGGAAGAGAGAGAAAGAAACATGGTTGCCTCCCATACATGCCCAACCAGGGATTGAACCTGCAACCTATGTGCCCTGACCAGGAATTGAACCTGCAGTCTTTTTGGTGTACTGGAGGATGCTCCAACCAACTAAGCCACCCAGTTGGGGCTCTAATTTTTAACTTTTACAGTAAAAAATTTTATTCTTTGTTTAGTGGAAGTCTGTGGGTGGTCAAACATTTTCCTTTATATGTTTGAAAATATCCTTTGGGACTCAAAGTCTTTCTTAAAAGGTTCTATGAAATTACACTGGAGTGTATTCACGATAGTATTGTTGACTTTTTCTTAGTATTCTATTTGTATACTTTCCAACTTTGGTGTGCAGGCATTTTTATTTGTTTGAGCCCTTCCCTCCCCCTTTCCTTTAGTTCTTCCCTCCGACTCCCTGAGAATTAGATCTCGGAATGACTTTGGGGGACTTCTTTCCTACAGACTACTGCAGCTGTATCTGTAATTGAATGGCACATGGATGATTTGGTTCTAGGTTTCCTGACCCTCTTCTCCAAGCTCACGGTTTCTTATAAATCTGTAAGTTAGGATGCACATTAACAGAGGTTATTCTATGGTTGCCTAGTTTATAAGCAGGCAAAAGTAGCAAGGGAATGTCTGCTTCCCAGCCGTGACTCAGCTCACTCAGCACTGAGGCCTTCCTCCAACAGCAGGGAGGCCTTTGCCTGTTTCAGAACAAGGCCCAGGATCCATTGTTTTCTCTTCCACTTCTTGGTCAAAAGCTGCTTAATCTATCTGTATTTCTCTTTCTATATATTTTATCTCTTATTTGCTGTAAGTTTGGAGCAAATTTAGTCAAGTTGTGAACTCCTTATACACTGAGTCTAGAGTATAAGGAACTTAACTCTTGTTTATGTCTATTAGCCTATGGTAAAATTGGTTTCCTCAGAATCCATTTCATTGCAGTTCCAAGAGCCTACTGATGACTTTAAGTACTTACTATAGTTTGCAGAACTGAAACTGATAGAGAATATAATTTTATTGCCAGTTCGGTAAACATTAAAATCCTTTGAACTCTTTTATTTTATGGTCCTTGAATTCAGTAAACTTCACGAGAGCTTTCCCTTCAAATTATTTGTAAATGTATTTTTTTAAAATTGAATGATTGCATTGAACTTTGGTTTATGTATCTTTTATACTGCCACGTCTAGTCTATGATCAAGTTGGTCACTTTTCCCTGTCTCCCACCTCTACAACTGGAGGAGAGAATGTAAAAAAAACAAACAAAAAAAACAAACTAGACAGGTGGGTGGGTGACAAGGAAGGTCCCTCTGCCCTGGTATCACACTTCAGGTGAATGAAATGCAGAAATTCCCAAATGAATTTGATGACTTGATGTAGCTGCTTAGGGAGGCTACAAACCTATACTATCCCGCTCCAAGATTGCATGGGGAAGTAGAGATGGCTGCCTGGGCTCATGAGCCAAACATAGCACCCTTAAACACCTCAATGAGTTTTGGAGCATAGCCAAATGTTGTGTGTGTGTGTGTGTGTGTGTGTGTGTGAAATAAATGGACACTGGGAGCTAATGGAGCATAGCCAAATGTTGTGTGTGTGTGTGTGTGTGTGTGTGTGTGTGTGTGTGAAATAAATGGACACTGGGAGCTAATGGAGCATAGCCAAATGTTGTGTGTGTGTGTGTGTGTGTGTGTGTGTGTGTGTGTGAAATAAATGGACACTGGGAGCTAATGGAGCATAGCCAAATGTTGTGTGTGTGTGTGGTGTGTGTGTGTGTGTGTGTGTGTGTGTGAAATAAATGGACACTGGGAGCTAATGGAGCATAGCCAAATGTTGTGTGTGTGTGTGTGTGTGTGTGTGTGTGTGTGTGTGAGAGAGAGAGAGAGAGAGAGAGAGAGAGAGAGAGAGAGAGAGAGAGAGAGAGAGATCTAGACTCTAGGGTGAAATAAATGGACACTGGGAGCTAATGGACCTGATTGGGCTGAGGACTTCTACTTAAGGTGGAAATTGCAACCCCAAACGGCACTGTTATGCAGTAGGAGACCATGAAATCTTCTTCAGATGTCAGATAGGAAAACATCTAAGCCGAAGACTGAGTGAGATTGTTTCACTTGGGTGGATGCCAGAGAATGACACAGGACACTCACTGATTACACATCTCCCCCTCCCTCCAAGAAGCATCAGTAAGACCAATCCATTCTGGGGAAAAGTAGAAAATTCTGAATTGACTCAGCTGAAATGATAAATTATTTTGTTTATATGGAATGACTATGGTAACATTTTTCTAACTGTCAGCAGGAATGGGCCTTTTAAAATGATTTTTGTGAAAATCAAATTATATTTCTTGGAAAACGAATAATTTGTGGGCTATTGACTTACCATGCTCTCTCAGGTAAGGAAACAAAAAATTCATACTTTTTACTCAGGGTCTTCCTGCCTAGCTCCAACCAGAGTTCCGATCCTCTCAATTTTTTTCAGTCTATTTCAACATAGGGCAGTGTTTCTCAACTGGAGTAACTTTTCCCTCCAGTTTGGCAATGTCTGCAGACATTTTTGGTTGTCACACTAGGGGATAAGATGCAACTGGCATCTAGTGGGTAAATATCCTACAATGCACAGGTCAGATCCCACAACAAAGAATCCACCCAAAATGTCAACATATAATAAACAAGACAGATGGAGATATGGGAGGGTAGGTAACTGGACTAGAACTACTGACTATTTTTCTTTTCCTTTCCTTTTTTTTTTTTTTTTTTTAGCGGAGACTAGATTTTCCAATTCTGATATTCAGGGCAGGGGAAGTGAAACTTCTACCTTGAGATCAGAAGTGGAGGCCTTAAATGATGCTGCTCCATTCAGGGCCCTGAGGAATATAATGCACTTGCAGGCACCTCGGGGTGAGGCCCTTCTCTGATCCCTGGGCCTGGGATCATACACTGTGGTTTGTTTTTTTTTTGTTTTGTGTGTGTGTGTGTGTGTGTGTGTGTGTGTGTGTGTGTGTGTTTTAATTTGTTTTTATTGATTTCAGAGAGGAAAGGAGAGGGAGAGAAAAATAGAAACATCAGTGATGAGAGAGAATCATTGATTGGCTGCCTCCTGCATGCCCCACACAGGGGCTTGAGCCACAACCTGGCATATGCCTTGACTAGAAATCACGAATGACCCGTGACCTCCTGGTTCATAGGTTGATGCTTACCCACTGAACCACACTGGCAGGGCTGAAAACACAGGCTTTAAATTATGACTAAAGCTTGACTCTACTACACCTAGGCTCTGTGACCACAGCAAGATTGCTAATTTCTCCATATTATGAATTCTCATTGATCAGAGCTAACACTAATATCTATGTCATAGAGGTGTTAGATTTAGTTTCAGCTCCTGTGGTGTGTAAAATCAGTAAATTTCCTCCTAAGTTGGATGAAACTTTGCTCATCTTTACATTTCTCACACAAATTCTTACATGAGAATCATGAAGACACCTGTTCCCCCACTTTTCCTGAATCTTTTTGCATTATGTTAATACCACATTATTTAGCTCTCACTTGTCATCTGCTATCTCCTGTTTTTTAATTGTTCTGACTTCCTAAGTCAGAGACCATATGGGGCTTCTTTAGTGTCTTCCATAGAGATGAATTAATTTGAGTGTGTGTGTGTATGCATATGCATAAATTCTGCAACTAGATACCCTAGTTTCCAACCCTAGCTCCGTGACTTTCATATCAAAATATGGATATAATAATGATAAATACTTCATAGCATTATTGTAGATTAAATAATTTAACATGTGTAAAATGCTTTGAAAAGTGCCTGGTATATTTTAAATGCTATATAAGTGCTAGGTATCATCATCATCATCATCATCATCATCATCATCATTTTGTGGTTCATGTTAAGTTCCAGATAATTACTAATTGATGGGTCTATTAATATCTTTGAGCGTGAGACTGTGTCTTACTTACCTTTCCTTTGCCCACAGCCTTGACCTGGAAGCATATTTAGTTTCTAACATAGAAAGGGCAAGTTGGAAGAGATTCTTGAGCTATTTCTTGGTGGTAGGCCAAACACAAACAAAGGTACCACCGTTGACTACTTTATCATTTGTGCTATAATTTTGCTTACAGCCTCTTTTACTCATAGTTTTAGCAACTGTTGTGCCAACATATAAACTTAAAAGGAGTCATCTTTGAAGAATATACTTAGGAACTAACTTTCCCCTACCTTTCTCCCTATCCCCAGAGCATGGTACAGGTAGTGTAACAACTATTTGTTGCAGTGAATTGGCTCATGCTTACTGGGTAATTCCAGAGGTCATTTCAGCAGCCACTTCAGCAGCACAAAAATCAGCCACTAGAGCAGACCACACCCATTTTATTTTTAATAAAATGAGCCATGATTCCAGAAAGGTTTCATGACTCATTTTATCAAAAATTTTATTAAAAACCAAATCTATGACTATTTAGAGGCCTTTACACCATGAATAAAACATCAGAGATTCTGAATTCAGAACTCTTAGGGAACCAGGCCACAAAGTTAAAAACAAAGGAAGAAGCTCCGTTTGTTTGGTCAAGGTTGCTAGACTCTGCAATGCATGGAAATATGTAGCTCGCACTTCTGATTCATTTCTAACAAAATTGGAACAGCAACAAGATTCAATTAAACCTAACAAATGTGCAATTAAATAACTGCTGGGGTAGAAGCACTGGGCCAGGTGTCTGTGGGTATACAAAGAGGAAAAAGATAGGGACCGTGTCCTCCAGGCACTAACAGGTGGTGTGGGGAGAGATGGAACTCTGATTCAATGGGGATGGAATCCGAAGCTTCGTCAGGAAGATAGGATCTGAGATGGATTTGAGCACTGTTTCAATTGGCGGAGATGGGAAAGGTAGCATCTGGCTCTCAGGAATCATGGTTGGAAGAGTTGCTGGGAAGAGGTTGGTGAGAGGCAGAAGGGGCTTCATAGCACAACCCAGGGGCCCATCTGGAATGAACGCTTACATGTGTGTAAGGTGAACAGCTTGCAGGGAGTGACTCCTCAGGAGATCCGTTAGGGTGGGGACAGTGGAAGAAGAAGGAGAAAAGAAGAGAGCAAGAGGGGCAAGACAGTGAGTGAAGCCTTTAAAAATATCTAGTGCCTACTCCAAGCTGTGGTCCAGCCAAATCTGCTGCTGCTGCTGCATAGGATGGGAGAAGTCATAAGAGCAGCACAGGTATATGGCCTTGAGCTGCACGAAAAATACAGAGGGCTGGGCCCAGGACCAAATTGTTACCTGGAAGGGTTGTAAAAGTTCAAGGAGACAACAAATTACTGAACACTTCAAAGAAAATGATGGGGGATGTGAGAATATTTCTTTGTGTGTTTTCATTTGGTCTCTCAAGTATGTCATAGGTTGAAAAGAGCAAATTATATCTTTGGGGATGGGTAGACCACTATCTTTATCTGAATATCTCAACAGTTCACCCCACAATATCCAAATTCTCATATATACCCCCTCCTTCCAAGAATCAGAAGAATCTAAGGAACAGAACCCCTTCTTAAATGTGGCCAGGTGGGGGAAAGAGGCAGCCCTGCACTCCCACTGAGCAGCTTTCCAAGCTGAGAGGGAAACGAGAAAAAGATGGCTCTTTCCTTTGGCCTCTGGCACAGTTCCCCTCCCACCCCATCCCCTGTTAAGGCTTAGCAGCTCTTGCTCCAAGGCTGTGTCTTGATTTATGGAGTCCCATCATATTTGGCAAAGCACCACAAGTAACAGTCCCCAGCAGTATATTATATGGTTTAAGTTGATCAAATGATACTTGTATATGAAGGTGCTATTACTTTGCAGACAACTGCCCATGTGCAGCTGAAAACAAGCCAGCAAACAGGCATGTCTCTGCTCATCTTTAAGCTGCTTTGTTTTTTTAAAAAAAAAAAAAAAAAAAAAAGACTGAAAAGTGTGGGAGCAGACAGGAAGGCAAGACCAACCAGGAAGCAAAAGTAACGCAGCATCCTTAGACTTCCAGTAATATAAAGACTTTAAAAGTCCTGAATTTGGATGAGATTAAAGATGGTGGTGTTGTAAGTGAACCTACACCGACACTTTCCCAGGACCAAACTGGAAACACTACTAAAATACACGAAAGCCGCCCTGACAAACAGGCCAGCAAACAAACAGAAAGCCTAGCCTGTATTCTGTCTCTACTATTGGTTCTGTGGCTTCCAGACAGTTAACATTGAAGTTCTTCTGCTTTGCTTCAGAGAATGCTGGGGACCTTTGCTCAGAGGAAGCCACAGTGCCTCTCCTGCTCAGTCCCCACCATGGGCTGTGCAGCTGGACTGCTGGCTGTAGGAAGTCCTTGCTGGTACCTTGGGCCTTGGAGTCACAATCCCATGAACCCTTCAGCATCCTCTCTGTCCTGTCTCCCTGATGGAGCTCTTGTCACTGTGATCTCAGCTTCTTGATTCCATTTGCACATCATCATCTTCCTTCAAAATAAACTCTTGGGCATCAGGATGTATGATAAGCCTTCATCTCCTGGACCATGTCAGCAGAGGAAGGGAATCCCCTACTCTCCCCTCTTTCCCAGCCCATTGTCAGGTCGACCCATTGCCAAGGGTCTGTTTTAAGCATGCTGGATCACACCCCACTAGTCTGAGCTTTAAGCTAGGCATAAGGCAGGTCCTTTAAATGCATGCTGAATGGGAAATACCCCTACTTATTTGACTTTTCAGTAAAGCATTTAGAATGCCAGCCTCTAAAAAGTAGCTTATGGGAAATACCCTTCTAAAGAGAGTTTTGATTGTAATTCTTCCTCTTCTTCCTTCTCTTTTTCCTTCCTTCCTTCCTTCCTTCCTTCCTTCCTTCCTTCCTTCCTTCCTTCCTTCCTTCCTCCCTTCTTTTCCCCCTCCCTTCCCTTCTCCCTCCCTCCTTCCCTTCCTGCCTTCTTTTGTCTTCCTCTACTTTCTTTTTTTCTTTTTCTACCTCCTTCAAATATGCAAATACTGACTTCTCTCTTCCTTCCAGCCCCTTTAGTTCTTTATCATGCATCTTCCTGCTCACCAGCATCTCCTGTTCAATGAGATACATCAGAGTCTTTACAGAGCAGTAACCCCTCAGACTCTTGGTATCACATGAGAAACCCACCCTTGAGCAGGTAGGGAGAATTTTCAGTCATAAATACAATACCAAGATGAATAAAGAAGTTGTCTTTCATATTGAAGGAACCACTGAGCATTCTTAAGCTTGAAATAGTGGTCAATGACCTTCAAATGGCTTCCATCCAAAGCCTTCCACAGTACAGCCCATTTGCCTTTTAACCCTGTTGCCCTCTGCTGGCTCAATTGGAGCCTCTACTTCTCGCCCATTGTACATTCAATGTATGCATTTCAGACTCAGTGCCTTTTTTCTCAGTACTCTGTTCTGTAATTTCTGCCCAGATGATTTCTTCTTTCTTCCCAACCAAGCCAAATGGTTCTCATCTATCAAGCGCCAGACCTACAACTCACTCCTTCCACAAAGCCTCCTTTGACTGCTCTGTCCCACTGGGTGCCTTCCTCTGGACTCCGGTGGTTTAGGACTAAAGCACTCTTTTCAGGTTGTTCTGTGCAGCAGGAATGCTGCCAAGAGTTTCCCAACTCTTCCTTAAGGACCAGCATTGACTGAGATTGCTAGGCTGGTCTCTCCCTCACTCCTGACCACGCCTCCACGGGCTGCTGCTACTGGTGGGAAGGGAAGGCTGACTCTGTTGCCAGATCCTCAAAATGGATTGCAGCATGCAGGGAGTTGTTTATTTGTTTTGATCTTAAAAGACTGGCTTATACACATGGAATTGTTTTGGAAAAGACATGGCAAAAGGCAAAGCAAATGAAGCAGTTACTGAATAGTAGCTAAGTGTTTTTTGTTTGTTTTTAAGAAATAAGATTTTAGTAACTAAAAGTTACTTACTAAAGTAGAAGTATTCAAAAAGTTATTCATGCCGAAACTGGTTTGGCTCAGTGGATAGAGAGCGTCGGCCTGTGGACTAAAAGGTCCCGGGTTCGATTCTAGTCAATGGCACGTACCTTGGTTGCGGGCACATCCCCAGTGGGGGGTGTGCAAGAGGCAGCTGGTTGATGTATCTCTCTTATCGACGTTTCTAACTGTCTATCCCTCTCAATTCCTCTCTGTGTAAAAATCAATAAAATATATTAAAAACAAAACAAAACAAAACAAAAAGTTATTCATAAAATGGCTTCTTTTCTTATGAATGTTACTGGCAAATGGGTTAAGAATAAGGGTGAAATCATAAGGTCACCCCTAAAAGTGAAATGTTAAAGCATATTTTCCCTGAGATGTAAGAGTATCAGAAGTGCCATCTTTGTCAGAACCTTCTCGGTCACACTCCTGAGCTCTCTAGAAGGGACCCCAGTATCCAAGGCAGACATGCTTATCCTCACATGTCTCCGAGTCTTTACAGAGCAGTAACCCCTCAAACTCTTGGTACCACACATTCGAGAAACCCATCCTTGAGCAGCTGCTGCCTTCAAATCGAATAGTTAAAGAAAAATAATTTCCCTTGCCAACCCATTATGTCTATCAGTCATGTGTTCATCTAATATATTAATATTCACACAGCTTCAGACCAAATTATTTCTCCAAAATTGCAACTCAAACAATGCAAGCAAACGAGTGGATACACGTGAGTAAAGATTTGAAGTAAAGTGTGAGAAGTTCAGATTCATACATGTATAACAGTCTTAAACATGTTTTAAAAATCTTACCCAGTTTATAAGTTTTTATACATCTCTGAGTAGTATACTATATGAAGGACACTCCAATGGCAGGAACCGTATTTTTCGGACCATATGACGCACCAGTTTTTAGAGAAGGGAAATGAAGAAAAAAAGATTCTGAAACAAATAGTGCACAGAAAGTGTCTGCATACAATATACCGGTATGAAGTTTGTTGCAGTACAAACATTTTGACAGTTACCGGTATAATAGTATGAAGAGAAATTCTGACGTAGCGGCGTTATCAATCAGGGCATCCAGCGGAGGGCGGAGTTTACTGCTGGGCGGAGATCTACAGTACGCCTACCCAGTAGTCAAGCACGACAACAGAGGGTGGAGAGGAATGATTGGGGGAATAGACGCGGCATTCTTCTGGGCATGGAGTACGGGCAAGCAATGGGTACAGGCGATGATTACGGTTTGGATTACGCAGTTACCGTACACCGCACCTGGGCTGACATGGAGATATGGCTGCAGCGAGGGCATGGAGGCTGACTACCATACATGGGAACTCCTCTACCACTCGGGGTTTACAGAGCGGGGCAGACACTCTGGGCACGGAGGAATGGACAGTGGCTGCAGCAAGCACACAGAGCCGGGCAAGCACACAGAGACCACACAGAGCCGGGCAAGTAAAAAAACTTTTTTTTTTAAAGTATATGTGTAGGCTATATTTGGACCATAAGATGCAGGGACTTTTCCCCCCCACTTCTGGGGGGGAAAAAGTGCGTCTCATGGTCCGAAAAATACGGTAACAAAAATTTGGTATAAAAATGAAAACAGGAATTTCTACTTTAAATTATAAAAGAACAGCCAGAACCCAATAACTAGTCAGTTGACATTTGATATAATCTCTAGAATGCAGAAACAGATTAAGATCGTCATTGCACTTACTATGACTAAGACGGCAACAGTGCAAAATAAGGTTTGGTTAAGCTGCACTCAACAATCTAGGTCACAGAGAATAAAAAAAAGAAAGCCAACTCATCAAGACTCTTTATATCAGAGAAAGAATAAAGCTTGATTAAATAGGTTACAACTTTCTTTTCCTTAAAGAGCTTTTCTCTAAAAAGGACAGGTCCCGATTACATTATCATCAACTACATTTTTGTTGTTTTTATAAGACAAAGGAAGGACACAAGAATCAAGTAACAATAGAACTGGAAGGAACATTTATGTTAGACATTAAAAATTTAATTTAAAATTTCAACGTATTTCAAAGTATTGTTCTAAAACTGTTGAAAATAAATGCTATCACAACTTTTAAATTTTTATTTACTGATTTAAGAGAGAGGAAGGGAGATTTGTTGTTTCAGTTTTTATGCATTCATTGGTTGATTTTTTAAAAATATATTTTTATTGATTTCAGAGAAGAATAAAGAGGGGGAGAGAGAGAGATAAAACATCAATGATGAGAAAGAATCATTGATCAGCTGCCTTCTGCATGTCCCCTATTGGGGATGGAGCCTGCAACCTGGGCATGTGCCCTAACTGGGAATCGAACCCATGACTTTCTGGTTCATAAGTCGACATTCAGCCACTGAGCCACACCATTGGTTGATTCTTGTATGTGCTCTGACTGGGAATCGAATCCACTGGGAAACAACCTCGGTGTATCAGGATGATGCTCTGACGAGCTGAGCTACCTAGCCAGAGCAAATGCTGTTACATTTTATTTATAATTAATCTTCTCTATTTTGTGATTCTTGAAGATTCTACTTGCTTTCAACCTGACAATAAAACTAGTAAGATGAGATGGCTTAGCTGTCTCTTATTTTAGTTTTAGAAGGAAAGATTTAAAAAGGTTAAGACCCATGAGGTTTGACTAGTGCCATAATTGGGGGCTTTGATCCTTATTGGCAGGTACTGATTATAGGTACAAATATAATCCTGATAATGTCTCTATCACATGAGAAGGATGTCAGCTACTAATGTACAAATGCCCGGAAGCAAAGGCTACCCTGTTGGACAAAGCCAGAGACAGAGGTGGTCTGATGGTTCTCCACCAGGACTGTGGTACTTACATGGAAGTGAGGTAGCCCTCCAGAAAGCCGGCCAAAAACATGATGACGTCATTGCTCAGGGACTTCGAACCATACCCTGCTCTGATCTCTAGGATGCCCCAGCCTGTGGTGTTCATAGAGTCATTATAAAAGCCATAGGCATCTCCGTTCTTGTCCAGTATGTCTTTGATCTCCACTGTTCTTTCGGTAGGCATCCAGTATGCAGTTGCATATTCGACTCCTTGAAAAAAACAGAAAAGGAAATAATGATAGAACGCCATTCAACTGACTTACCGATGCATTATTTTTTCCCCCATGTTACTGACAATTCCAACACATTTGCTTTCTAAAGACTTCCATTCCATCAAAATTGGGAAATCTGCCACTACAGCTTGACTTTGTTGCAAATGGGAGGAAAAAAAAAACAAAACAGCCTTGATCAAGGGGGATGAGCCCATAGCAGAAAGTATAAGTGAAAGGTAGGGGCATGGTTTGGACATCATAGAGATGGGTCTAACTGCTCCAACCTTAGAGATGGGATTCTGGGCAATGCCAGCGCTAGAACCCTTGCCCACCTCTTCATTCAGCCAAGGAAAGGGCTCATGTCCCTGCTCTGCAAGGCCTTCCAATTCCCCTCTGCAATTGGGCCAAAGCATTTATTTATTTGGCTCCTTACTCTATTTCTCCTGCTTAATTATCACACATGACATTAGATTCCTATTTTGCAGAAAAATAAAAGTTATCACCTGTGACCCCCTCAAGTTCTCGATAATTTTGTGAATCCATCCTCACTAATCCTGTATTCATGTCTCTCTTCTTCTTCTTCACTTCAAACCCTCTACCCAGCCATGCTCTGGATTCCACCCCTCTCACTCAGGAACTTTGTTTCATCCTAAATCTTCTTGCTCCTGTTCCCTCAAGTCCTCTGTCTGCAGTGGCTCTGCCCTGTTCAGTAAATTAATGTGTTCCACTGTCTCAGTCCAAAGCGAACCAATCACAGAAGCTCTCTGTAGAGATCCCATGAGCAACTTTTGGCTACTGCTAGAATCTCTCCCTTCATAAAATTATTACACATTTTATAGAGCATGCTGTATCTGGGACTCTGCTAGGTGCTGGTGACACAGTTGTGACAATGACAAGGTCACTTCCAGGCCCCATACACTTCCCTTCCTCATTTTCTTCACTCAGGCCTGTGGCAGGCTGGCACCCACCCCCACTGGCTGGGTCACAAATGAAGTCCTTGACTCCCAACGTCACACAGATGCCTGAAAGTGTTTGACCCTGGTGACCACTCTTTCATAAAACTCTTTCCTCCCATGCGTCTGGGACTACACTCTCTTCTGAATCTCCTCCTCCTCAGACTGTCTTGTAGACCTAACAGCACACTTGATAACTGTCCAGGTGAGTCTATACACATTAGGAATTTACATTATTCAAAATGAAACTTATATTTTCTCCCAACCCATCCTCCATCTTCTGCTGTCTCTGTGATTTCTTAACCTGAAACCCCATCCATGCAGGCCTCCTCTCTCTCTCACACATTTAATTAAACATCTCTCCTTCCAGTTTTCATCTCTACATTTCTGTGCTACTTTAATATCACAATTAGCCTTAACTTCTCTTCTGCCAGAGTGACCTTTCTGAAACTCAAGACTGAATTGTTTACTTGACTACCCAAAATTTTCAATGGCAATATAAATAAATAAATAAATAAATAAATAAATAAATAAACAAATAGATAAAATCTCCAATGGCTTTTCTTTCCTAGAAATAAAATTCTTCAGCTCATACTATCTGCCTTCATGATCTGGATTCTGCCTACCCATCCAACTTCATCCACCTCCCCAGGCATTTTGTGATCTGGAAATCATTACCTACAATGCTCCAACCTGCTAGGTACTGTTCCAGCACCTGTGACTTTGCATATGCTGTTTCCTTTCCCTGAGAGTTTCTGTCTTGTTAGCTACCCACAACCTCAAAATTACAACTTATGACTCACAAAACAGCACTCCTTTTAAAGGGGCTGACTTTCTCTACAAACTCAACGTACCTGTGTATACAGTTTAGGTCTGATCCCTTTGTACTGCCCCTGCTGTCTCTTAAGATAGTTTTGAACTCCTGAGGCCCAAAATTGTTTCCTCAGCATTAGGAATAGTGCCTTGCCCATAGCAGATACTCAATAAATATTTGTGAAAGGAAGAGAGATTTAGGTAGAGAGAGAGAAAAAAACACCCACAGAAAAATAGAAATGGTATATAATGCATTCATTTCTCTGCCTAAGAAACCATTGCATAGCTGCTCAGGTTAAAAACAAACTTTATATTCAGGCCATCAGAGAGATGGGAGGAGGTCAGAATGACTCAAGTTGTAGGTTGAGAATCAGTGGATGAATGTTGTATCATTCACTGAGAAAGGGAGAAGATGGGCATAAGGACTTGGAAGAAATACAAGCATAGTTTTGGACATACTAAGTTTTTAGTGGTTAAGATACTTGAAATTCGCCCTGACCGGTTTGGCTCAGTGGATAGAGCGTCGGCCTGAGGACTGAAGGGTCCCAGGTTCGATTCCAGTCAAGGGCATGGACCTTGGTTGGGGGCACATCCCCAGTGGGGGGTGTGCAGGAGGCAGCTGGCCGATGATTCTCTCTCATCAATGTTTCTAACTCTCTATCCCTCTCCCTTCCTCTCTATAAGAAAAATCAATAAAAATTAAAAAAAAGATACTTGAAATTCTAGCTCAGATTTTATATATATGTAATGTTACCTGTTGTCAACATTCAAAACCGACTCAACATTTTGCTTTTTGATTTAACATTATCTATCTAATAAGCACTGAAAGTACAATCCTAATCCTAGAACAACATGACCACAATGGTGGACTTTCTTTAAAAATGGTTAAGAGGAGGTAATGACATTGACTATCAAAGGTAGGTGCAAAAAAAAAAAGTAGGTGCAAACTACTTTGTCAACAGACTCCCATTGCCAAACAGTCTAATCCTATCTAATAAAGATGGAATATGCTAATTGACCTCACACTGTTGCTAAAATGGTGGCGCCCACAGCCAATAAGGAAGGAATATGCTAATTGGCTGCCCTGCCTCAAAAATGGTGGCACTCATAGCCACAAGATGGCAGCACCCAGCCCCCTTAGCCCTGCCGGGGTGGCAGGTATGTGGCAAGGCTGGGCCTGGTGGGCCCAGTCTTGCTGCACACTTGCTACCAGAGTCCCTCCATCCCCTCAGCACCCCCAGCCACCCAAGGCTGGCCAAAGGCACAGGCAAGCCTCAGATGGCGGCTGCCTACCGAGGCTCAGGTAACCAGGGCCAGTAGAGGCTTACGCTGCAGGCAGTGGCTGCAGCAGAGGTGTGATGAGGCATTGCCTTCCCCTGATCTCCAGGGCACTTCCCACCCCTGAGGGCTCCCAGACTGTGAGAGGGGGCAGGCCAGGCTGAGGGACACCCGCTCCAGTGCATGAATTTTCATGCACCAGGCCTCTAGTTGTTAATAAAGCCATAAACTGACCACTCTTGACAATTGTGGGCAATATCCATAGAAACTTCCCTTCTCCTCCCACGTACAATAAATAAATATGCTTTCCCAATTGATTTTAGGCCACAAAGGCCATTGCCTCAGCCCTTCCTCAGCCTTTCTCACACATTCTCTTGCACCCTCACCTCCAGTGGTAGGGAAATGAGAAAGCATGGCTGACTAAATAAAAAGCAGCCACAATTCGCTGCAGCAGGGGTGTGGTCATAAACAGGAACTATAAAAAAAAGTAAGGTAAGCGGTATTAGTTTCTTCTCTTTCAGTTCTGCCCACATTGCATGGTTTTAGCTTTATTACATTCTCCAAAATGTTGGCACTTTTCATCCAGCATCCTGGCCTTCCTTTCCTTTCACCTTCCATTCCAGTGGCTCCTTTTATTATACACTTGGCTTGCTCTCAATCTAAGCACTCAAGGGCCATGGTTTCATTGTTACTGGTACTTCCTAATTTCCTATTTCCTGACCACAAGTAATAAACTTCTGCAAATCTCTGTGTTGTTAATTTTTTTTTTTACACTAGTGTGTCCCCATGCATGAGAAAACTCTTACCTAAAGTCCTCATGAGAATTCCATGATAAAAATTTACTGCTAACAAGCTGATCAATTTAGCAGATGCTTTGAGAACTAAGCCAAAATCTGAATTTCTCGACTCACTCCTAATTGGTATCCTCCATGACTCAATGTTTTCTTCATGTATCATCTCTTTCTGTTTTTTTGTTGTTTTTTTTTTGTTTTTTAGTATCATGCTATTTAAAATTTTTTTTTCTTAAATCCTTTAATAACTTTTAAGCTATTATAGTTATTTATTTACTTGTTATTATTAAAAATATATTTTTATTGATTTCAGAGAGGAAGGGAGAGGGAGAAAGAGATAGAAACATCAATGGTGAGAGAGAATCATTGATCAGCTGCCTCCTGCATGCCCCCTCCTGAGGACTGAGCCTGCAACCTAGGCATATGCCCTTGACGGGAATG